ATATATCCTTATTCAGCTTTCTCTCAAACGTTTTAAGGAAGAAGATCAACTGTGTGAACCTGGTAGAAAAGCAGCGTACTCATTATTAGTAGATGAATATCACTTGACTTACATTTAGTTTCTGTTAATTAACCGACTTCAAAAAAGGAGGAGGTTCTCAATTCGCCTGTATGTTCCTTTTTTAGTATTTTTTTTTGTATGTATGTTACGCGATAACTCCGGTATTTGTGAACCGATTGTCATGATTCTTTTATTGTTGGAAAGGGGGTAATTCCATAGTGGTTCCATTTTATTTTGAAGAAAATCAACCACCTCAAAGGGTGGTTGTTCACGCATGGAGATTCATTTTTATAAATAGCGCCTGACTTTAATTTAGGAGCAATTACTTTTAGCAATTATTTAGTTGATTTTGCTATTTCTCCAATTCAAGGCGTTTTTCTCTCGATATACTTTGAGTAGTGTCGTAGTGAGAACCTATTTTTATTATCTCCAGTATCAAGTCTTGTATAGTGGCGAACTAGGGGATATTTCAATGAAACTTAGCAAATAGACGTAATTCCACGTACTTTTGAGGTCGGTTTTTTTAGTACTCTGTACTGAGATTATTTTTATATTGTGTTAGCCGAGTAGAACAAATTTTCACATAGGAATTTCTTACGTTCTTATGTTATAATTACACTCTACAAATTCTTTGTGACACTAGATATAAGCCTGTGACTGCACTTCATATCGTAAAAAAAGATTGATTGCTAACCAGTTAGGCAACATTTAACCTCACAAGAGGATTTAACCTGTTTAGTGGATTATATATTAGTATTACAGATAATATTTTACAGTGGAGGCCAATGTTAACGGAAGGATGTAATAAGCTTGGTAAGAATATTGGTGTAAAATATAACAGTTCGGATTTACTTCTGAAGGTCTTGGACAGCCGTCGATTGTGGTCGACCCACACCCGCGGATCTCCGCGCTGCGCGTGCAGCAGCCCGAAGTAGTCCTTCTCGACGATATCCAACGATTCGCAAACTTTGTCCAGGAGATCTGAACCTCGTGCTTTGCGCTGAAAAGTCAATAATTGAATATTTTGAGCGATGTTTTTAAAATGGTCGGGTAATTAATTATTCTACGATATTATTAATTGAAACTTTCGATACGCCACATTGACTTACAAATAAATGGACGACGGGTCTAGCACAAAAACCACGAAAAAAATGTCCCAAGTCAACCTATTTAAACGTAGTGACATGTAAAGGAATATGAAAAAGCTAAAACGTTGAATTTATATTGTAATGTCATCGCAGTACCGTCTAATTTTTGATGCTTCGTTGTCAGTCGAACAAACGAAGACTAAAGCGTGAATGACGCTCTGTATAAGATTTTAACGCCCTATAAGTTCGGATACTTTTTAGCGCGGACCCGACGTCCATATAATTGTAAGTCAATGATACGCCAACTTATTTTTTGGGCCTGTTCTTTGTTTCTTTATTTTTATTTTCACAAAATTCGAGGCGCATAATATTAGTAAATAAATATGTCCGTTTCATCGAGTATATAACTAGAAATAGAGACGAAATGAGGGCTATATATTCCTGGTAACACATTAGCGATACAGCTCTTATAAATATCAACTCCCGTTTGCACTGAAATATAGACAGGCCAACTAATTACCCGTGTGTAAGTGTCCGTATATTCCAAAAAATATTCTGTATTTATTATAATAAAGATAATATCTCTAACAATGCCGTGCTGTTCTATTCGGTGGTGTGGGAAAAACAGCAAAGCATCTCAGTACAAAACAAACAGAATCACATTTCTTTGGTAATTAAATATTAAATATGTAATTTTGCAATTTTCGTCCATTATAGTAAAGCTCAAGTTAACTGGTCGTTTTGAAGTGAAACAGTTGACAACAGACACCCATTGACGGCACCCGTCAATTGTTTCGATCTCGGGCTAGCCAATCGGAGCGCTGTTGTCACAGTAATGATATGGCAGAATAGTTTTCAAACAAATTAAATGACAATTCGTCTCTATTTTTACTCGATGGTCCGTTTACAATCATTACAGAAAGGAGATAGAGATATAGCTTTGGTCTTTAACTTTGAATAATTTTTTTTGGAAATCATTCCCGTCTTTGTACGGGTCCACACATTTGCTTCTTATTTTAATGCATAAATTAAACACATATATAATTGTATACATGGAGAAATAACATGTAAATATTTAATATCAACAACATTAAGTATGTAACTATTTTTGTCGGATCTAAATTGAGGATATTTGTTTATTCAAACAGACCAACGTTTCGGGCCCTTTAGAATCATCGAATAGTTATGTCTAATAATAATTCCATTTCGCAATCCAACCCACTCTGAACTACAGTATAAGTTAATTTACCAAATAATTATGTTGCGTAAATTGGTGTGTGTTGATACATACTGACTTTCATGATTGAAAACGTAAGAAACCAATTACAATATTAGTAAATAATAAAACGATAGCGGATACGCTATAAAGTCTATAGCACCATGCACAGGTAACAGGAGTCAAAGCGTCTCTGAACCAAAAAGTATCAAGTGAAAAGAAAATAGCAGAGAGTGTCAATTATCGAATATTGAAGCATCAAATAAAACTTAGATTACAATCATTGACTTACAAATAAATGGACGTCGGGTCCGCGCTAAAAAGTGTCTGAACTTATAGGGCGTTAAAATCGTTCATTTCGTCTTCGTTTGTTCGACTGACAGCGAAGCAAGCAAAATTAGACAGTACTACGATGACATTACAATTTAAATCTAACGTTTTAGAATTTTCATATTCCTTTACATGTCACTACGTTTAAATAGGTTGACTTGGGACATTTTTTTCGTGGTTTTTGTATTAGACCCGTCGTCCATTTATTTGTAAGTCAATGATTACAATTGAATGTAATTTAGATAGATTCAAATTATATCTCAAATGATGTTCCAGTGGTATACATATATGATTCATTTTCGCAAGTGGCGCTTTTGAGTTTTTGGTGCCTAGGTTCAATTTGATGTGAACTCACAGAAAAAGGTTGTTTGCAATGCGTGCTACACGATCTAAGGTTAGTAAGTTTGAAAAGGTTGTAAACCCTAACGAGCCGTGACCAGGTTCACGGCAATAAAATAAGAAAACTTCTAGCCCACGGAAATTTATTTCAAGTTGATGGTAAAGAGAAAACAAAGGGCCAGAAAGGGCCGAGTTATACTGAATTACAGATTGGTGTTAAAATTGGCATAGGATTAGTAGTAGCTATTAGAAATCTGGTAAAGGAATCAAAATTAGACGTAATTGAATTTTAAACAGCACAGTACGCTGCCGTGTTCGAGCCGGGAGTAACGATGAAACAAAACAAAATCAGAATGGCGAGGAAACGGAATTAAAGAACGATTCAAAATTTAAAAACGAATGGCCAGGAACCGGAAAAAAGGCGATAAAAAGGTGGGATGACGATGTAAGGAGGGCACATTGTCACAAGTTGTTTACTCTGCCGAAAGCGCTTAATAGTACATTGTATTAAGGTTGGGTGGTAAATAAGGAGTTACGAACGAGACTCAGAAATCGGTGCCTTTCGGAGGCGAGGTTCATATTTTTTCTTTCATTACAACCATGGTCGTGTAATTTCTTCGTTTTCATTTGTTTCGTTTTTATTTTTACAAATTCCATAAATTGGACGTCTCAACTACAGGTTCTTCTTCTTGCCGAGTCAACGACAAAAATCAATACAAAACCAGTGTTATATTTACTTTAGACCTCTATGCCCTTATCTACCTTACCTTTGCGGCTGCTGCTGGTCGGACACAGAGGGCATGACAGCAAGTGAGTATCCTCAAGCACAACGATTATGAGTCGGGTTAATGTAACCCCATTTCACCATGTTATCTCTTACACACTGTGTTGTAAATTACAGGCACATGGAACTTGGTAACTTATGTCTCAAGGTGACGGGCGACTTACATGGAACTTGGTAACTTATGTCTCAAGGTGACGGGCGACTTGTTCGTCCCTTCACTGGGTATTATATTTAAAAAAAACCATTATGTGCTGTTGTCTGTATGTACATTGGGCGGTTGGCGCTTTTCGTATTGTATAATAAAGAAAATACTCCGCAATAAACTAGTGATGTTTTCTTTTTTTGTATTTACGTTAATCAAGATTTGCAAGCCACCTACGCAAGCGTATATTAAACTATATAACCCCAATTCACCCTAACAGTTAGTGCTCCTTAAAATTAGCGAAGCATATTGCCAAAGTATACTACTAAATCTTCTCTCAAATTACGACTGTAAACCGTGTCTATAAATCATGGGCAATTGATCCCGATGGTCTGCAAGCTTCGGTCAATCGTAAGTCCATCACTAAGGAAGATTTACGGCAGTTACTAAGAAACTACTGTTTTACGAGTTCGAGGTGATTCTGTTTAGCACAGAAATAGACTATTGTCTACAAAGTTATAATGTCTAGAATACATATAGATAAATGAAATCAAACGTAGCAGTTTTCATAAATAAAATTCTTTTGCATTTACAAGAAGCGTAAGGCTGCGTTTCCACCAGAGATGTTCAAGTTAGCTAGGCGGTGTGCAAGGGAAAATATCTACCAATAGGATTACTTCATTTTCTTAGCCTCGTTTAACGGAGCTCTGGTGGACAAGGGCTAGCGGAGCTAATAAGTATTTGTACACACTAGAAAGCGAGAAATGTGTGCGAGGGATGCGAGCGAGGAATGTGTGCGAAGGATAGTGTAAAACGGTGTAAGGAACTAGAACTATTGGTACGAAACCCAACTGAGGTGCGAGTTACGCGACGGGCTGCAGGCTCGCCATCGCCTCCGCTCACCCCACCACACCGCACCCCACCCGTGCACAGCTGAAAAGGGTCCACTACGCATCCTCGCACCGTTCAGCCCTCGCGCATCTCTCGTGGAACTGCAATCTTAATACCGCATCACAAGCGCGTTCTTGTCGGCTTTCGCATGTGGGACGTAACTAGATACAGTTGCACAGAGTACATATCGATATTTTTTGTTTTTGTGTTGCTGTCTGATTGTGTTATGTAAAGAATTACTTAATTATACCTAAAGATTTTGTAATTGACGAATAATTTATAACACAGATTTGCAACAAATGATTAAAGGTTTACGACCCTTGAAAAACATGTGAAGTTAACAAACCGTATGGAGCAAGTGGCATATATGATGCTGGTGTGGACGATATGGACTGTACAGAAAAAAAAGGTAGAGAGGAAAAGAACAGAAATAAGCATGATTCTAGTAATGAGAAACAATAAAAAATACAACACACCATTGACAAGCGAAAAAGCGGGGTTTACACCTACGTAAGGGTTCACATGAATCGTATCGCTTTTACATTTATATCGCGACCGCCTGTGGAGTGGAATTCCCGATATGAGCGTTCAAAAAGTTTGATAGTACGGGATGCCGATCGCATTTTGCATCGAATTTACGAATGCTTTTTGTACAAACAAACCGTACATCGCCGTCGATGAGTATATCTTGGTTCTATAGCGATCGTCATCCTGGTTCTCAAACTTATCGCATAACATGAAGTGGTGCTGGTGGTAGTATCTAACCCCGAGATAGCAATTTTTACTCACATCAATGTCAAGGTTAAAATGCTCTCCATCCGTAAGCTCGATCCGGACCCTGCGGTATGCGCCGAGACGTCTGGTTTCCATTCCTTCGTAGGAAGCCAGGCGGCGGAGGCTCTCGCGCATTATTCCACCTGCAAGAACCAAAGAGAGATGTTAATAGGTGTCTACTTGGAACCAAGTTATTGACGATAATGAAAGCCACAGGTCTTCCAATTTTCATGGACTGACGATCACATCATCAGACCTTTTGCCGTTGAGAAATTATTCAGGCAACTTCATCAAATATTTAAATTACCAGAGACTTGGTTGAAGAGTTGAAATATAACAGTGAAAATACTTGATATTAACAGTTGTTGTAAGCGAAACCGTGGGATCCGTGGGCCAACCAGCCATCGTTAGACTACCTAGAACAGCACAATGGGAAGTCGGCTTTGTTTTTACTCGGTCACAAGTCGAGAGCATCGGGTGTCGTTTAGTGGATTCTTTGTACAGTTTTACGACGGCTATACGTACAAAGGAGACACAGCCATTGTGCTAGACTGGGACAGCTTTATGATCTTAGTGAAAAGAGTCATAAGGAAGTACGCATTTCAAATTCGGTCTGTATAACTAGGAAAGTTGATATAGTAGGGGTTTCATCTCGGAAATTTCTGTCTCAGAAATTTCGAAGAGTCTTGACGATTGTTTGGCAATTTGGAGACTATCTGGGGACTCTGGATATTTTAAGTCTTGGGATAATCGAGACTTTTGAATCCACTAAATTCCTCTACCGATCCATTTTTTATTCCTAAATCCGTGTCCTAAATTCCTTAACATAGGAAAAGTTTGCATTGTTTTTAAATAAAGTTGATTAATATCTTGTCATTGGCTTCTACGCTGACCGCGAAAAGCCAAAAAAAATCCACTACATCAACAGCCATTTTTTATTTTGGTTGCGTGGAAATGGCAACACTGTGGAGTGGAACTGGGTGCAATCCGTGGAGATTGATAAACGATTGTAATTAAATCAGGTCCTCTCTATTTCAAACTATAGAAATGCTCTTTGTTTCCTACGTGACCACTAAATTGTGTGAAAAATTTACGAAAAATTGGAACAAAATATTCGTTTGAAGTTTTATGCAGCGTGAATTATAAAAAAGTTGTCTAGCTAAAAGCAAGTTAGAGTAATACGAGATTTCAAATGATTGGACAACATTGAAAAAAAAAAGAATCATTGGTAAAAAAATCTTGGGCTTTCCCCATCGTTTTCCTTCAGGTCAACTGTTAAATGTGGAATGAAAATTTTTCCATGACCCAACACTAGGGATGGCCCACATTTGATTCCGATATTCACGAAACGTTTGGAAATTAATCCGGGAGTTCTAGGCATCATCATTTTATAATATCACTAGAGCTCCTTGTGAAAGAGTTCGTCCACGCAAGGTAGTACTACCACCTTACCTATTTCTGCCGCCAAGCATTACTGCGTTCCGATTTGGAAGGGTAAGAGCGCTGGTGAAATTACAGGAATTGTTAACTTATGTCTCAGGGTGACGGATGCAGTGGCAGTGCTCCTCAGATCTCTGCGTTTTAAATCTCTGAGTGGCATTGTAACTGTTGTGAATAGGCGTGTCGCTTACCACCAGGCGTACGACTTGTTCGTCCCGGCACTTGGTATATTAAAAAAAAGCAGTGTCTGAATTGTACTCAAACTTTTGTTGAACCTCTATATAGTTTGAAACCATTTTTTTATTTATTTCTCGACTATTGCAAACAAACCTAAGTCGTTGAAGGCATCGCAATTATCAATGCATTGTTTACTTGAAAACAGCGGCCTCGATAAAATAACGTAGGCACATAATACAGTAACACTATGTACTTGCGTTATAGTTGTAACATTTAACGACCAATTGTAACTCAACAAGTCAACAGTTAGACGCACAAATGTACAATCATACATTGCAGGAATTTGAAACTTTGTTGTTTGTTGTGGAAAATTGTTCGTGCGCTAAAGATATCCGGATTATGCTTCAGTAGATATAGTCATTTGTTACGCAAGGCTGCAAATTAGTTGTTGTTGAAACCTAAGCAAGCGAAGGAAGCTAGGAAGGGTTCCAAGACACGAGACGCAAAACAACTTTGTTGCCGAGCGAAACACACAAATTTTCACCTCACTATAGTGAGAAAAATGGTAGATGAAAGAAAAATTGTTGAACTACAAAATAACAGTTTTTTTTTCGGATGCTTTCTGAATTTGCATCTCATCAATGTTTATTCTTGCTTGCCCTTAAAATTTTGTGTGATTATTGAAATTATTTTAGTTCTTAGACGAATTAAAATAATTTGATAAACAAAATTAGGTATCGTTGTCAATGTAATGTCAACATTATTAACAAAAAATATACCAACGGATTATACTGTCATTATGCTTTTTTTTCATCGAAAGAAAAAGGTAGATGCACCACAGTCCATCGTCAAGTTCGAATTCCAAATACCTTTTCCACGCTAGCGTGCAAAAAACGGTTTTGCGTGCAGATTTCTAATAAGAAAGAAAGTATTTCCGAGCTAGTGAGGCGCAAAATAAATTATTTTGCCGTAATATAACAGAGCGGTGGTAACCAAATAGGATAGCGTTTCGATATGCCCAATGAACACGATTTTTGGCCATTTCCTGTTTTAATGTAAACAACCTTATTTTATTTACTAAATTATGCTCCCCGAATTTTGTGAAAAAAAAAATTAAATAATAAAAAAACCGAATTTTGTGAAAAAAATAAAGAAACAGAAATACAAAATAAGAAAGCCAAAAAATTAAGTTGACGTAGTGTTCATTGGAGATATTGGTTAGCTTCCCACGTCAGAGGCCGATCGATGGTTCGAATCCCTCTTGCGGCATGTCTGATCTCCACATGAGAATAAATAAATTTTTATGTTGGACAAGGCCAACGAAATTATAAAAAAAGAACCATTTTTACAAACTATATGTTTTAGTAACCTTACCTATTTCTGCCGCCAAATAGTAATGTCAGCATCACTGTGTTCCGGTTTGAAGGGTGCTCGTGATATTACAGGCACATGGGACTTGTCAACTTATGTATCAGGGTGAAGGGCGCAGTGGCAGTGCCCCTCAGATCTTTGTAATTTAAAGCTCTGAGTGGCACTGCAACTGTTATGGACAAGCGTGAAGCTTACCATCAGGCGAACGACATGTTGGTCCCGTCACTTGACATTATAAAAGAAAGACAATAGTTTCATTGCTCATGGGTCGACGACGGGTCTAATACAAAAACCACGAAAAAAATGTCCCAAGTCAACCTATTTAAACGTAGTGACATGTAAAGGAATATGAACAAGCTAAAACGTTGAATTTAAATTGTAATGTCATCGCAGTATTGTCTAATTTTGCTTGCTTCGCTGTCAGTCGAACAAACGAAGACTAAAGCGTGAATGACGCTCTGTATACGATTTTAACGCTCTATAAGTTCGGACACTTTCTAGCGCGGACCCGACTCATTATTTTAATTGGATGTGGAGATTGGTCTCGGTATTTATTAATTTACTGTCGGTAGCAATTAGACCGTTTTAAATATGGTACACGTATAAAATACAGCGACACTACAATTTCGATATATCACACAAAAAAAAGAAAGCGAGTGAAATCCAATAAATAAATAAATAATAATAACGCACACATTTATAGTCCCGCACTTGGGAAACCCTGTGTCGCGGATACCATGGACACACACATAGACAAACACAAATTACACCCAAATTCACGAGAGAAATAAATGTAGGTGATGTAGGCCATATAAATATTTTTTTTTGACAATATACGTTTGACTGTAGAATAAATCGGATTCACTCCTTTATTTACCACCCTTAGGGGTGGAATATTTTCGTCAAATTTGAATGGTACCACTACTGAGGTGAGGCACCACTTTCCAATAAAAGAAGAATCATTAAAATCGGTTCACATACGTACTTATTTTTTAGATAATAACTAAAATAAAATACTCTGTCTGTGTCAACAACTGTGTGGCGGGGTTTCTGAATTCAGTATATGCTGTGCAGATTTCATTTTTACAGCATTGATTTTCATCATGAACGTCCTTGGCTGGAGCCACGGTCTCGCGGTAGTGACCAGGTCATTTCTTTTTATGATATCAAGTGAGGGAAAGATCATGTCGCATCTGGTGGTAAGCGATCAAGATCTGAGGGGAACTGCCACTGCGCCCGTCACCCTGAGACATAAGTTGACAAGTCACATGTGCCTGTAATTAACTGCTGGGCGGCAGAAATAGATAAGGTGGCAGTACTACCCTGGATGAACTGTTTTAACAAGGAGTTCTACTGCTGTTAAATACATTGATCGAACCGAAAATCTTGTTTATTTGTTGTTAATCTATAAATCTTGTTAATGTTGTTTGCATGTTTGTGTGTCTGTATTCTTAATAATTAAGGTATCTAAATTCTCTCTGCTGTGTTGCTAAGCTATAGACCTTTTATCGCGCTGCACTGTTTACGACGTGGCACTAAACTTTATGCTTGATGTATCGTAGTTTATATTATTTATTAATGTGCTGAGATAAATAAAATAATTTATTATTGTTAAATACTTTGAAGTAGCAACAAATTTTCGTCAATAAAAACTTTATTCCTAATTTGTTTCTTTTTTATGAAAACCTTAAAATAATAACGTTTTTATATAACAAAAATCGACTTGAAATGTTTAGGAAATTACATCGATTTGCCAAGTTTAGTTGAAAACGGTTACCGGAAAAGTGCGCGAAACCGTATTCATCCACTAGTTTGCCACCCTAAAGAGGTGGCAAACTAGTGGATGAATAGGAGAATATTTTCTTCAAATTTAAATGCAACCAACACTAAGGTATCCTCTTTTCATTAAAAAAATATCGGTTCACAAATCAGTTATCGCGTAACATACATACAAAAAAGGACAGTCGAATTGATAACCTCCTCCTTTTGTTAAGCCGGTTAAAAATAGTAAGAAATTTCCAGTTCAACGCTAAATGAACTTTTAAATAAAGGGGCCCTGCACACAGCAGAACCCGTTGGATGTTACCGTGATAACCTAAACAATTACCAGTCAGTTGAAATAGCCCAAAGCTTACAATGTTGACGCACGAGAGTG